TATTAATAATGATTGAGACATTCTTATGAGTTTAGAAATATATRTATTTTCCCGTAGTTCCTAGGTGGAAAATAGCGCATCTCGGTTTCGGTAATAAGAGGCTTTAAAATGAGTAGGTGATTAGCCTTCTGCATCCGAGCCTAGTTYCGGGGCTGCCGGTTTAGCCTCGAGGCAGGCAATGGCGCAGGAGTTTCTTCCTCGCATGTGCTAACGTTATACCGCCTTTACTCGGTCGTCAGAGCCTCGTTCGCAGTGAACAGTGGGTACCGCGCGAAGGTAAAGTTGACGTTTGGGAGGGTTAGGCTATATATTCGCATCACCAACTCCGTTTGCCCATTTTTGGTATTAGCTGAACGGCATATAAGGTTTTATCGAGCGTATTGTGTGAAAAATTAAAGACCACCGGCAACAAACTGATTGGACCTGGAAGATAAACAAATGACCAGATATTTACCATGCGCCAAATCTTGGAAAGAAGATCGACACCTCTTTCCTTCAAAACTGCTTTTGACAGCACGAAAAGAAGCTGTCATTGAGCTGCGGTGTCTGAAATTGGTATCTCCACAAAACTAATACRGCTATGTAAACTGAGGTTGAGCAATACCGAAAGTTCCGTCAGGAACGGAAAGACCTCTTCAAGCCATACGTTACCAAACTATCTTTTCAATCTTCAATCTACTCCTGGAAAAAAAAACTAAGCTGCAGTGCTGAATAGAGAAGGTATTAATCTGCGATAAGAGTGTACAGCTGGTGCATAGGCCGATGATATTGATATCATTGACCTGAACATCCGCTCCGTTAGTTCTGCTTTCTTCAGATTGGATAAAGACGCAAAGCAAAAGAGGGCAAGACAAAATATCTCGCGTCATAATAAAAACAATCGCCACACCCGCGACTTASTTTCCACGTCTCTCTTGTGAAGTCGTAGATAATTTCGTCTATCTTGGGACCAACAGTAACACCAGCAATAACGTCAGCTTCAATATTCAAAGCAGAGTAACTCTTGCTCAACAGGTACTACTTCGGAGTAGGCAGTGTCCTCTCTGGACGAACAAAAACCAAATTGTAAAAGTCGCTYATCATTCACGTCCTGGGCACTGGTCACACTCCAGCTCTGAGAGTATTCGACGCAGAACCCACCGGGGGAAACAGAGRAAGAGGAAACCTTCTACTCCGTTWGAAAGACCAGGWGGAGAAGAACCTGTCACTKYCCATACTTCTAAAATATATGAAGGWAAAWACAAAACCTTTYAAGCTTTAATACGCTTACTCCATATGCGCAATAAATGCCCTTTCCACACAAAGGGAATTGTGGAAAATTTATGCAAATTTCGCAATTTAGCACTGCACAGTGGGCACTCTGCCATAAAAATTAAATACCCGCCATAGAAATGCCGGTAATGGCAAATTCCAAATGCCACACACCAGGCAACTACACAAAAGCGTTCTAAATTAGCGGAGAAAAAAAATGGTTGCGACAGCAACGAGGGCATGCAGTGACCAATTGACAGKKAGCTAAGCATAAGTTAAGCCTGTAAACCAACACATCTGGTGGCAACAAATAACAAGCACCCACACGCTAACGGTATTTACGCAAATGAACACGGCATTAAGCTAACTGAGCACGACTTCAACACGCTCACACCCATGCATATGCATTTACATATGTACATATATGTGTAGGCAGTCAACCAGTTGCATTMAAAATGACGCCACCCCTTCTCAGCTGCCCACACGCATTGTATTGTGGCGGCAACTCTGATTCGCTGCTGAGCACATTTCCGCCCGCGCATTTCCAACTCACACATATGTATGCTGAGTGTGGGTCTGCGGTGTAAAATACAAGGTATGTATGGGTGTGTGTGGCGAAAGAACCACAAAAATATAACTGCAAACGCAAACCAAGAAATGCCAAGTGGTAGGCGATAACGGCATTTGTCGGTGTGGCTTTGCCGTATGCACACAGCACACAGCACACATGTGGCTATAACGTTGGAAATGTACGGATCCCTACTTGAACGTGACATATGCRGTTGTGTGGTCCCAGATTTTTTTATTATTTTGTTTTCAGTTATTTCGAGTATACTCTCCGGATTTGGAAGAATGAGGTTTGCATTTTCTTAGTAGAAAATTACAATTTACATGCAGTTCAACCATTGAAGGCCTCCAAGTTATGGTAGCCCGAGTACTCGGGTCTTGCTTCTATACAGTGATTGGTATAATCAGATATCATAAATAGATGAATAGCACACCAAAATTACAACACACCAACAACACCAAAAGAATTTTTAYTTTGAATAAGCGCTCAACAAGCAATAACGAGTTTCCAACTATTCTCTTGCTTTTTCTCTTCTTCTCCTCATACCATCCATCTACTAGTATGTACTTAAGGTTTGTAGTCGGTTTTATATATATATACACTACAGTTAAACAATAATTCTGTTAACTATTCTTGAGGTTTCCATTAGAAGAGAATCGACACTTAGGAATAAAAATACCTTAATTGTGAGGTTATGTGCCCAAGTCAAATATTTTAAGATAAAGAGAGATAGAGAACAAGAGAATAACTCTTTTAAAAGTTAATATAGTCCTGTTGTCGAGTCCGGAACTGTAAACTCTGCAGCATTTCACAAAATGACTGGGAAAACGGCGACAATCAAGCCAATGGGACCAAAACCAATCCAAACCAAAGTTTCCCTGCACCGACAAAGAAGAGCTCGAAAAAAATGGAAACATGAGAAACGATCGGTTCGGTCTAAAAGTCTCCAGGCTTCACCAAGGAAGCTATCTTTGGGTGGATACAACCTGATGCGGTTCAGATAGGTTTTCAGCATAACCAGAAAAAATTAGGTCAGCTTGTAGCCATATCCACTGACTAGGATGAACTTAGGCGCCATAAACCAAAAATGAGAGAAAAAATTTTAATTCTGAGAACTGGTTTTGTGGTCACCAAAGTATCTACTCATTTAATGAGTAATTAACAAAARTAATATATAGAGTCATCGGAATGATATGTGCCTACAGGGAAGGAAAGGGATTGAGATCTGAAACTGGACGAGCTAACCTCTTTAGCTGAAAGATAAACACAGTAGAGCAATTAAAGAAGGAACAGGAAAACAAATTGCAATATTGAATTTTGACAATTTAGTGACCGTTAGAAAGTAGGGCCTTCTAAGAATTATTTGCAGAACTAATTATACCAATCTTATCGTCGACTTGAGAGTGATTGAATACAATAACGTACCGCATTATAGAGTTCACGTGTACACTATAGGTATGGGCCCCAAAATAAATCAATGAAACCTCCTTGCTTCAATATGGTTGTAGAAAATTGCTTTGCTCTTTTTATGAATGGTCTTCAAAAAACAAAAAAAGATAGAATTAATCCACTAACAACAAACTCAACCACCTCGCCTTATCTTACGGTTTTTTGATGTCTTCTCCTCGGGATAAACTTGACATAAACTCGATATATAGTTCTAGCACTTTTTCTTTTTGTAACATATTATAAGCAAGTCCTTCTCTTCCATTTTTCTTCAAAGTCAAGTTTCCCAGTATTCTTACAAGCCTAGAAAGRCTCTCATATCCCTTAAGTTCAATAATATATAGGTGTATTTTAAGTAAACCCATTTAGGTTTACAAGAAAATGTTTATCATCCACTCAACCTTTTTTTTTTTTTTTTTTTTTTTTTTGCTTTATGCTTGCCTGGTTGAAATATATTCTCTTAAAAATTTCAAAAAATATCTGCAAATCTTTAATTTAATTGTCGCGATCGATCCGTCAAGGTTTTGAGAGCATAATGAAATAGAGACAGAATGGTCATATCACACAAATAAGATATACAAGCGTCACCATTTATCATCCTTTGCCTGGATAGAAAAGCTCGCATAAAGCAGAAAACAGACGAATCAAAGACGTCTAACATAATCAGGCGAACAACTACACTAGTGTATAGTCATTKTGCAAATGTGATGTTAGCGGCTGTTAAAACCGAAAATGAAAATGAAACTTTCCTGATACAAAAAGCTAAGTCAGGATTGGAAAGGACTTCTACGAGACGTTCGATACCAAACGAGGTTTCAGGCAAGGCGACTCATTATCTTGCRACTTCTTCAATCCAYTGCTGGAGAAAATAATTGGAAAAATGTTGAACTCAAATTCGTAATCAGAACGCCTTAAATATCCCACAGACCTCTTAGCACAGCAGTTGCAAAAGTTTTCCTTCAGATTTTTCGAGTAGAGTAACATATCAACGAGTAATTCGTATGACCTTCACATACCAAAAATAGATAACTTCCGATAGTTCTGTTGTAAAGTATCTTGCTTTTTTGTCGGCGCCCATAAATTGATTAAGAATCTCCTTCAAACATACATTTTTAAGAAATTTTAAGAAGTTCGCAGAGTTTTCAGTGATTCTCAAACTTTTTCAGCTATTTACAGCTATAGACAGTCTTTATGTGTAATTCACAAATTGTAATGACTGTACTTCAGTTTCGAACTTGAACTTGATGAATATTTAAACATGTTTATATGCAGCCCACTATCTAATTTATACAACAACAGCAATTCCCATGGATAATAATTATAATTATTAATGCCATTGCACACAAGAACTTGTTTAATTACATATCTATTATACATAGCATACTTACACACACATATAGACTTTAGTTATACATATATAAATGTAACGGTGATATTAATAAATTGTCGAATGACATGCGGGACGATAAAAGCGGGTCGAGAGTTGCCACACAAACCATATGCACGCCATACGCCTATGCAAATGCCATATACTTTTACATATTTATTCATATTTATATAGTATATATGCTTATATATAAACACAAAACTGTAAAGTGAGAAAAAGGCATTTCACGCTGTGAATTACTGTGAATAAAATATCTCCCCCATGACAGTGTGGACATAAATAGGTCTGTGCTGTCACAATAACGGCCGCAAATGTCAGTGAACCGTCACAGGTGAAACACTCGGAAACATGACAGCAGTTTATAGAATTTTACACATTCACACGCAAATGTTGATGCGCATTGTGGTGCTGATTGTATGTCAAGGTATGCGGTCGGACTTAACCACTGAGTTCGTGGCGGGGGAAGAGGTTGTTCAACAACGGATCAATCCGTACGGAAAGGATTTACAATTRCTGCTGCGAGAGCCGCCTTTAAAGCAAGCAGCGAGTGTGTTGCACAAAGATTTGGTGCAAGAGCTGTGGATGGAGCAAAAGTTGGATCAATTCGATGTGACGAACAACAAAACTTGGTTAATGGTAAGCTCTGTTGTAATGTTACATTTTCCCCTTAGCGTTTTAGCTGCATCACTGACTAAGCGATCACAATTTTCAGTACATGATCCGCTAATGTTTTGGCGGTCGCATTTCCTGATATTGCCAGCAATCTACAGAGAGTCGACGGAATTTTCGTAGAAKTTTTATATTTGAACGGCTTACTAAAGCTTACAATAGCTATGTACCAAAAGGAACGACTTTTAGTAAACGTTTATGTTTGACAAGCGGTCGGGTCAAAATCGATCGTGTTTTTAAAAAACGTTTTCGACGAAAGTGACTCCTCAGCTTAAATTTTGATGAGATGATGATTGCTCTCTACAATAAATATTTCCTCGCTCTATAAGCAATATTTCTTGGCGTCGACGATACTAGGTCATGTGACGCTAGAAAAGACACTTCCTCTAAACGACTCTCAGAGAACAGGTTGAGTTGTAACATGTCGTCTCAAGCTTAGTAATTCGACGCTTCGTTTCAATGAACATACTCATAGTGTTCCGAATATAACAAAAACGATTCTTAAACAAGCAAGTACTATTTCTCTTTGGGAGCATTGCTCGCCTGACGAGCTTGAGAGAATAACTCATATATCGAGAAAAAGTGAAGTTACTTTTTGATTTATGATTTATATATAAGTCCATAGAAATGATGAAACCTGAAAATATGCTTCGGTCGAGGGCTGCGGACGGACGATGGTTGAGCAGAATAAAATACTTGTCAAACTGCCCAAAATCCAAAACAATGTTGAGAGAAAAACCCGATTATTTTCCAAAAAATTCACTTCCACTTCTTTTATAACACAAGCACATACTAACTTTTATTTAAATTCATGCATTCTGCTCAATATTCCAGCGTTACTTGCGCAACGATCGTTACTTCCAGCCACATGGCCCAATATTCATATTCGTTGGCGGTGAGTGGGAGATTTCGCCAGCTTACCTTTTGACAGGGCATATGCACGATATAGCCAGACAACATAACGGTATKCTTTATTATGTGGAACATCGGTACTATGGCCAAAGCTGGCCTGCGGAGTAAGACACGACTTTATTAGGTAAAAAATAATAATTATAGCAAATATTATCGGTAGTGATGCCAGTGTGAAAAACTTGAAATACTTAAGTGCTCGTCAGGCTCTAGCAGACTTAGCTCGTTTCATACGCCACCTAAAGAGCAATGAAGACGAATTGTTGAACTCAAAAGTCATATTAACTGGCGCTTCTTACTCCGGCAGTCTCGTTGCTTGGTTCGCTAAGCTATATCCAGAGTTGATGGATGCTGGTTGGGCTTCGAGTGCACCGTTAGTGGCCAAATTGGATTTCTTTGGTAAATATGATACTTCATTTTTATATAATTTCCGAAAAGTTTTCACAGGACTTACTCTCAATCCGTCGCAATACAATTTTGCGAAGAATAACATAATGAAAATTACGAAAAGTTTTGTTTTTGGTTCGTAAATTGAGGAGGTTTGGATAGTCAGTGAATGTTTCATAATCGTTTCACATTTTCTCGAGCATATGATTAGAGATTCTGAACTTCTCTATACAGAACTCACTTTAAGTATTATTTCTAAAGATAAGATTTTACAAGTATCTTCACAATAGTCTTTTTGACTAGTTACTATAGAAAGAAAGTACCCTTCCGCAAGATGTAAGTAGTAGCTTGAAACTCGAATATACTTTGCTATCAAAGGAAAGCAGATCCAAATTCGTTAGATGAGGTCAATGACGATATCGTTATAGGCCAGCATTTATCTCTATTAATTGGAGAGAGTTCATAAACACTACTCTCCGTGATGCTATTCGAAACATTGGATACATTATAGGTTATGACATAATAAAGTATAGAATTAATATTATTATATGTATAAAATCCTCTACGTACTATGTCAACTGATTTTAACTTGTGTAGATAGATTGAATATGCTTTATAGAGCTCGCATCATAGATATATTCTGGGTCTTCTTACAGTTGTCATCCATTAAGACAGATTTACAACTACAAGTTTCCACCAGATAGCTTTGAGGACATTTAAACATTACATATTTTCAGAATACATGCACCAAGTAGGCAAGGTTATCCAGCAACGTGGAGGTACTGAGTGTTCCGAACTGCTCGAAAGGGGACTTAACGGTGTTGCAACAGTACTGGAGTCCTCAAAAGCCTCTCAACTGCTTAGTGCTCTGCGCATATGCAACAATTTCGAGCCAAAAAGTCAACTGGACCGTGCTGCGTTCTTCAATGGCCTGGGCAATTATTTTGCTACATTCGCACAACTGTATGAGTGAGTATTAAAGCAGCTGCTTTCTGAGAGGTAAACTACACTCAATCTATTATTTTCTGAAATGAATATGTTAAAGCGACCAAATCGCCGCCAAAATTTGTGCAACACTCATAACTACCACAAATACAGACGACTTGGTGGRTTTCATGGAATTTTTGCGACACATATTTTGGTCCGAGTTCGCGAAGCAAGCGCACACCGACGACTGGTGCATCGATTTGTCATATGAAGGGATGAAGTCTATATTTACAGATCTAACGGACCAGCTAAGCGGCAGTGAGTACACCAACTGGCGAGACAATACAAGCCGCMGGCTACTGAATCGACAGCAGCAGCAGCAGTTGCGAAACATAATTAATATTTAAATTAATTTCCATTTGCTTGCAGCACGCCCTTGGTTTTATCAGTGTTGCCATGAATACGGTTGGTTCACCACTACGGCCAACAATAGCAGACACAACAAATACCCAGCGGTCATCCGGCAGGTGACAKTTGCGCGWCRCCATGAAGCGACAACCCCGCAACCACACTCATTTGGCCGTCAAGTGCCACTAAATTATTTTCAACAACTTTGTGACGATGCCTTTGAACCAAGCGCCGATGCCGCAACGTACAATGGCATTGACATCTCAACCAGCGTTGAGCAAACAAATAGTCATTTCGGTGGTCTCACCGCTGCCGCCGCACTACAGCGTGTCATCTTCACTCACGGCMRGCTCGATCCCTGGCGTGCTGTTAGCCTGCAACGGGGCAAAAATGTCATTAACATAGCAGGTGAGTCGAGCGACAGCCACTCTTTCAACCAGCCGCTARGCAGTGAAAAGGCCAACCGACCTGTAGTTCAATGCGGTGTCGGGAAATGTAAAATTTCGCTACGGCGGTAGCATATTTTTAGGCGCAAATGTTCATAATTCTTATCTGTTGACTTTTATGAGCGCTTCAGCTCGCCGGTTGGCAAGTTTACGTTTCATAATTATGCAGCRCCACCGGAATTTCTGCGTTTAGTTATGCTAATTATACTATCCTCTTTGTTGTCGTTTTATTAATTGTTATTACTGTATTTGSTTTTTCTCATTCACTCTTCTCACGTTCGTCGCTACAACAGGCTATTCCCACACCGCTGATTTGGATTCCATAGACTTCGGCGATTCGGTGGAAATGAATGTGGCTAAATTGAAAGTAGCTGCTTTTTTGCGTAGTGTTTTGTGGTGAGAAGCAACAGCAGCAAGCGAAGTAGCCGCTAACAGACTGAAAATACGCCACAGTGGTAATAATATGCCTGATKCCGGCTGAAATTAGAAACTAGATAAAACTTATTGTTATTACAATCGCTTTTTGCAATGGCCTTACATTAATTATGGAAACTATGAACTGGAAAATAAATGTGAAATAATATTTATACTTTTTCAAAAAAAAAAAAAAAAAAAATTTGATTTTACAGTAGAAACAAAATACATAAAATACATATACATAGTTTATTGCGATGCAGAAAAATTTACCTTTAGTATAAATATCAATTTCGGCATTATGTTTTAGAAATGCTTTTGAGCGATAGGGCCAATTTTCGACCACTTTGTGAGCTTAACTGAGCAGACAAATAAAATCCCATTAAAAATAGACCAGAGGTGGTAAATGGCCGGGTCTTAGAGGTCACGTCATAGTCCTACGGCGCGAGTTAATTTGCTCACCAAAAGTTACCTTCAATAAATTCATTGTGTCTTTCACTGTATGGCATATAGCGCGAATTCATCGGAGTAAAGTTCGTCATCCTTCAATTCAAGCACGAGAAAATCACTCATTTCGACTCTATAGCGTTCCCTATTGACTGTAACATTAAGGCCAGATCATTTTTGAAAAAACGTAGATCAATGATTCCCTCTAACCGTAGAGCACACCACTTTTTGAGTATGTTACAGCGTCCTATTAAATTTTTTATTTATCTTTTCTTTTTTTTTTTTGACGTACCCATTCGACCAAAAGTTCATCGCTGAACAACATTTTTTTGCAAAATTGTGCCGAACTTGCGACGCCCTAGAGAAATTGTTCACACAGAAGATCAAATCTTGATACGGGCAGTGGAACTAATATTAGGTTGTCAAAAAAGTCTTGCGGTATTTTCGCTAGTTGGCGCTGAGAGCGCATTGTTCTAGTTCTATTCGTCGCATCAGGTCATGCTATACCTTTTTGGAAAGCTCATTTCACGCGTTAACAAGTCTTTGATTGATTGTCGTTTCTTTTAAGTCGTTCGTGAGTTATAGCGTCGCAAACATGGAGCAAAATAAAGAGAAAATACGGCATATTTTACAATACTACTACGATAAAGGCAAAAATGCAAGGCCTGTCGTCGAAAATTGCGATAAAATCCCTGAATTGATCGAAAGAGACCGGCATAGTAGCAGCCGTAGCATCGGTCAAGAGCTGGGCATGAGTAATCAAAAAAAATTTTATGAACAATTGAAAATTCAATAAAAATACCGCAAGACTTTTTTGACAAACTAATRTATCATGAAGTTTTAATGTGATACCCGTGGACGATTCACTTCGAAACTCTGAGCCCTTAAACAAAACAACGATTCAGATTATTTCGTCAACACATCAACATTGGTGGACTCGGACAGGACTAAAATATTTCGACAGATTTATGCTCCCATACTATCCCTATTCTTTCACTGCAATTTAAAGAAAAGTTTTGAAACTTTTTCTTCTTCAGTAGTCATCCGTCTGGGGCTTACGGCTCACAAGACTTTGCTACCACGAAAACTCTCAGCTTAGCAGTTTGCGCCAAAACTGTGGCATAACAACAAAAATATGCTATCTTTAACAATAAATTTAGAAATTCGGCTGCCCTCTTTTAAAATGCATTCTCGCAGTAGTAGTCAGTAATCAATTGGATCAGTCTACTTCATAATTAAATTTGGGTGCCTGGTCATAGCGCTGCAAAAAAAATGCACAATCTTACGAATAACATCAGTTTACCATACCATCACCTAAAACCCTACCGATCTCCCACGGTATAGCTTAATACAACTACAACGAGAAGTAAAGTCATCTCTCGACGAACAAAAACCACCAGGGGAAACAGTGGAAGAAACAGGCCTCCTCTTCATTGGAAGGACCTGGTGGAGAAGGACCTGGCTTCACTTGGAATCTCCAATTGGCGTCAAACAGCGAGGAAAACCTATTAATCGGCAGCCAATAGACATACATACAAACGGTGAGAAAAAGTTTTTAAAGTCGTCAATTTTCAAAGTTGTCTGGAAGAAAACAAGGTGGCTAGCTGGTAGTTCAGCTTTCACTGGTCTGAGTTTGCAAGGTCTTGTTCATACCATTGATGAACCAAGGAGTTCATGCACACCTGGGTAGATTAGGGTATTWTGGTGTCATTTCCATACAATATACGCTCCTAGTGGATATATGGTCAATTCTGCTATTCACAGTATTTTCTCATTTTTTCACATTGTAGCGAAAACACTACAGGTATTTCTCTTCTCTTCTCGACTTTTTTTTAATAAGACAATGGCTGAACCGCAGATAACAAGAGTGTGAACTTCTCTCTATTTCAGTTCTGTAACCAGCATTATGACTGACTATCACGCGATATACAGACCTAGTGGTTCTTCACAGTGCCATATGCACTTTCTGCATGTACTAATGGGCATTCGGTTCGATGAGATACAAGTAAGTTGTGACCTGTCACTAGGCTTACAGCCGACCTGCAGTTCTTTTGAGATCGTTAAAAACATTTGTGTTTTTCTTCGAGGCTCCTGCACTCGATTTTGGGGATCTTGCATATCATCAAGACATTCCATCTCACTTTGATACGTCTGTCAGGAAATTTCACTCTGTATCATCAGCGACTTATACATTTATTGTAAATCTTATTAGTTATTTCGTTTCCCGGAATTCCTTTGTCGCCTGCAATCCCTGCGGTCCACTTATACAGAGAACAAAGAATCGCTTTATCCGTTCTAACGGTTTACTGTATAAGATTTTTCAGACAACAATCTACCACACCAAAGTACCGTAAAGCTAGATGGGTTCGACTACCGCTGTGTAAYACCAATRCATACATCYTTTCGGTTAACTGCATTTTGTGGGAGTGGCAATGGTTCGATTGATTCCCTTTATAACATCAATCACATCAACTGTCTCCACTTTTACTCAAGTTATCACTTCCATGGATCGGCATTCCTCTTAGCTATATCCTTCGCGCCGATGTGGACTGAGCAATGGGTGTCGCTGCTTACAATGTCATGATCATGATCAGGCTTTACATTGTAAGCAGGCGGTTCCTAGCGATAATTTTCCTAATTATTCCTTTATGTTGGACTGCTTTATACGCATCCTCGGAAGTACTTGAATGGTTAATACAACGATTATTACTAATGTGGTACCTGACGGTAGGTAAAAAAACGCTAGGGATAAAGACCCCCGAATTAAAAACCTAAAATGGTGGACAAAAACAGAAGAAATAAGGTGGAGATGGAGGTGGAAAGAACCCACTCAACAGTCTGATGGTAAGATCGAATCTTCCGAGCTTCTTCTCAATTTAGAGAAGGGCGACTACAACATACTTTTGGTTCAAGAACCATGGATTGCATTGTCTATACAAAGATCCCGACAAAAGCATGGTAAAGACATTCAAAACTCGATGAAACGAGCTACCTAGTTATGAAACTGCAAAATTCATGTGCAAAACGGTAGAGCGGAAGTACACAAAATTCTTGTTGGCACTCGATAGAAGAGACAGGAGGGACGAAATGGGAATACTAACTGAACGAGAACGAACGAGAAGCCTTCAGGAAATGTCTAGAGCAGGGTACCAGGGAATCTATTGAGCACCCCTTGCGCACTTGGTATGGTACACGGTATGATACAGTGTAGGAGATATCGGGTGTGGGGCCGCAGAGTCTTTTAAAATTCAYGTTAAGCGCATGCATCCGAAAGGATGACTACTCTTAATGTATCTATTAACTGAACTCCATGYGGTATCGCAGARGGCCAAAYTGGTCTAAGCGTGGCTTATTGGCCTACCAGATTAAACTATCTCTTCCATGAAAAGATTGCCGCTTGGATAGACATCCAGAAATGAATTTGCATCCTCGTCTCCGTAAAGGGCTTTATGGAATCAAATGTAATAAAAATTTGTTCCTTAAAGGAAATTTAAAAATTTCATTTAAAAAAATAGAAAATCAGAAGAAACTTTAAATGACTGAAGAATAAATTTACAGTCTTCACGCTACGCAAAATCGTAAATTCCTAGTGAAAGAAATTCAATATGGTAATACGAATTTTTCTGCGCAACATTTTTATAGCGAGAAAAGGAGACATCGAAAGAAACGCCAAAAACCGCAACAACAAAAAAGAAACAATAAAAAYAAAATTTTGTTGTTATTTTTTAACGCAGTTCCCCTTTACAGCCAACTACAATACGTTGCTACAGCATGAGCCTGTGGCAATGTTGCAACATCTGGTGACCCGACCTTAAACACACTTAAACCAAATAACGGTATCTAGCTGCGAGTACGAAAGCAGTTGAGTTAACTGGCTGGCTGGTTGGTTGGCGCGTTAATAACAGCAACAGCCGCAAGCCGCACGTACAGCACACAAACATGCACACTGGGGTGATCAAAAMAAAATATTTTTCRTTTGGTACTCTGAAAAATGAGTTCCTAGACACCTCCAAAGAAGCTTCTCGAAGAATGAGTTCTTAATTGTAACGGGAAGGTCCTCCCATTTACAAATTTCTATTTTTTCTTATTATCATACAGCAAGTTTTATATCTCGCTTCCAACTACTTGAAAGAATATCTTGTTCCTTAGATTTTGTAGGAAATTGAATAATGTACAAAAAAGAAACCTATTTTTCAGAGTACCAAACGAAAAAAAAAATTTTTTTTTTGATCACCCTAATGTACACATAAACACACACGTATGCTTTGCAATAATCATTGTCTCCAAATAGACGGAGAGAGAGCATACGAATGACAACAGCAATGATTGTGGTAAGGGCAACATGTGGTCGCTGTTAAAAAGATTGAAACAAGGCATCAATAAATTAGTTTTTATGTAACATCAGCACAGCAAATTGCCTGCGCCCATATTGTGCCCCCATCGAAAGGGAGAAGGAGATTGYCTTGTGAATGTAAATGGAAATGGAAGCGTAAATATGCATAAACAGCGTATGTGAAGTTGGCAATTGAAGCGTT